GAGCCAAGGGGGCAACCGAAAGCTGAGGGGAACCCGGGAGCTGAGGGAGCACCTGAAAGCTGAGAGGAACCCAGGAGCTGAGGGGCACCCGGGAGCTGAGGGGGCACCCGGGAGCTGAGGGAACACCCAAAAGCTGAGAGGGAACCTGAGCACTGAGGGAGCACCTGAAAGCTGAGGGCGAACGCAAGGGTTGAGGGGGCACCCAAAAGCTGAGGGGAACACAGGAGCTGAGGGAGCACCTGAAAGCTGAGGGGGAACGCGAGGGCTGAGGGGACACCCGAAAGCTGAGGAGCACCTGAGCGCTGCAGCGCACCGGAGCACTGAGGGGCAGAGCCCTGGGACACAGCGGCTGCACGGCGGCGAGGTGCGAGGCTGACAAATGGCAGGACGGAAGGCAGAATGAGTTTAGGTAGGTGAAAGGCTTTTTTTTTCTTTTCTTTTTCACTGAAATGATGTATTATAGCTGTGCAAAGAGGTTCTCCTCTCTGCAGGTGTACCCTGAAGTGCGGGGGGTCTGGGTGGGTGGGAGACTTGCCTGCCCCAGTAACCCCGCTGGGAAGCCAGGGCTGGGCCAGGAGGAGGAGGCTGGAACTGCTGCTTTTTGTGGGCAAGAGCAGGCTGAGCTCTGAGAGAGAATGGAACCGTGATGGAACTGTGCTGTGTCCAGCTTTCCTACACCTCGCCTCAGTCAGTTCATTTGCAGCCTGATCTATACATTGTGAGTTGTTATTTGGTGCCTTCTCTGAAAGAACCCCCGTTTCTGTGGCTGCACTGAGATGTTTCACGTGCACTGGGAGCAGTGTTGAATAACCAGTAAGTAGCTAGCAAGGCTGGTACAATGGTCCCCGCTGATTTTAAGATTTAAAATGCAACTGAGTGTTATACTGCAGCTGTCTGGAGCTAGAAATGGTCTCTATTGGTTCTTGAATTTGTCTCCGTTGAGATGTGAGTACTGGTTGCTTCAGGAAAAAAAAAAAAAAAAAAGAAATGGGGGAAAGCTTTTGTTGTCTTTGAAAGAAAACAAATTCTTGGACTATTCATCAATGAAAGAAGAATATTTTTAAAAGGCTATTAAAAATCTAAGAATATGATCTAAACAGGAGTACCCTGTCTTCTATAAATCATAGGTTAACAAGTGTTTTTAGGCTTTCAGCAGAAGACAGGTATTTGATTTAAGTTTTTTTCTAACAAAATGTGCTTTGACAGACTTCCTAGATGGCTGCTAATGTTCAGTGATGGCTTGCTGTGATACATAATGGCTTGTCAAGCTGTGCATGGGATTTTGTCTCTAACTCAAGATCAGAGTAACAGCTCCTCCAGTCCTGATTTATCTCAACCAGCCGGTGGTGTCCCTTCGTGGCCACCCCGAAGCACAGGGCATCGGGGTAGATCCAAGTCTGTACATGGAGACAGTGGTGGGGAGTGCCACAGCAAATCTTCTGGGTCAGAGGAAAGTGCAGATTTAACAGGGGAAGCAAGAGGTGGACAGTAAACACAAACCCTTCTGTTTGTTTCGTCTCTGGGAAGTTGCTTGCGTAACTCTGTTTGCTAGTTGTCACTCTAGGGCTAATGCGTTAAATGGGCTGGATCGTGTTCAGGGTCTGCAGCTCTTGCATGCAGCTCGCGCTGTTTTACTGGGTAGCAGCAGAGGAAAAGTTTGATCTGAGCCTTTGCTTTCCAGCTCTGCAAGGTCAGTGATCCGGTGTCACTCATGTCATCCAGTGGGTCTTAGGTAAGACTCAGAGGGCTGCGACCCGCCGTGGTTAGCGTGGCAGTTACCACTGGTTATGAAAGCAGTTACTAACCTTTGGTTGCTTTGCTGACCCTGCCTCCAGCCGGGCTGGATGTGAAGGGACAGCAGACCGTTAATGCTTGTCAGGTGTTGGAGATCCTCACCAGATCTCAGAAAATGCCTGGCTGTTCCCTGAAGCACAATGAGTTCCAGGCTTTGTCCTGGTTAACAATGTACCCGCAGATAGTGTCTGCTCTCCCGGTCATGAACTCGAAAAATGGCTGATGGGCTCTCAGTGATTTAGCTCTCGAGTTCTTCGGGCTGTTCCGTCATGGCCGAGCCCTGGGCCTGTCCAACACTGAATGTCGCTTTAGAAAACCTCCAGCCGGGGCCCGCACGCAGCGCTCTGCTCGGGGACCTTGCTGGCAGCCCGGGCCATGCAGGGTCAGCTGGTGCAAAAAGCGACCCTCTGCGACGGCTTTGCCTGCCCTGAGGTCCTGCCCCGGCAAGGTGGGGCCTTGCCTGGGGGACTGTGCCCTTCCTTCCCCCACGAGGGCTTCAGCGAGGTGCTGCGGACTGTGGTTTTCTGCCCAAACCCTGCGTGTACGTGGAGAGCAATGTCTTCTCCCGCCTTCAGACTGACGAGGAGTTTAACCCCAAGAGACACAAAAGCAGGGGAGGCCAATGCTTGCTGTGAGCCCTTGATGCGCATAAAGGCGGTGAGGCGGCGTGGGAGGCACCATATGGTTATTTTGGTGGGCATGCGAACTTTTTTCTGACAGAAGGCTGCAGGGTGACCTAGTGATCACCAGGGTGCTGCCACGTGCTGCTTGTCTCGGCAGACCAGCTCTGAGCCGCTCGGTGCGGAGCGACAGGGTTGAAGTGTCCCCTTGGTGCAGGAGGAGCGCGGGGGCGAGGAGCTGCTCCCCCCTGAGCCAGTGCAGCCCCGGGGCCGGGGGAGGCAGCGTGTGCTTGGCCAGTGCTTCAGACCGGGCTGTGCTTGCTCCGATGTAACTATGGCTGGGCAGGTGTCACAGAATCACCGACTGGTTTGGGTGGGAAGGGCCCTTAAAGCTGCCCCCTTCCCCCAGCCCAGGGGGCTCCCAGCCCCATCCAACCTGGCCTTGAACCCTTCCAGGGAGGGGGCAGCCACAGCTGCTCTGGGCACCCCGGGGCCAGCGCCTCACCCCCCGCACAGGGAAGGATTTCGGCCTTAGATCTCACCTAAATCTCCCCTCTGTCAGTTTAAAACTGTTACCAAACTTTTATCAAACTGTTCCAGTTACCAAATCATTAACTAGGACATTACCAAACTATTAGCAGACTGTTCTAGTTCACAGCTGGTGGAATATAACCTTTATGCTTAAGGATTTTTTTTTTTTTTAATTAAACACCCTTGCCCTTCAAGTTTAATTGAGAATTAAATTAATTATTTCTTACTCTTTATGAAAGACAACAAAGCTCAATTTATCTTAAGCTTTTTATTGGTTGCATATGAAAGATCTAGATAAGATGGATGAAATGTAAAATTGCGCTTTTAGAATGCCTTGGCCTTTTCCCTGCAGCACAGCACAATGCTGCCGTTATTTGCGGCACGAAGCTGCCTGGCAGCAGCGCCACGTTCCCGGGATTCATTAACCCTCGGCCCGGGGCGAGCGAAGCGGCCGGGCCCGGCGGGCAGCGCTTCCCCCGCCGCGGGGGTGGCCCCGGGGCCCGGGCACTCGCCCCGCTCCGGCTGGGGGGGGGGGGGGGGGCAGGGCTGGGGGTCTGAGTGGGGCGTGGGGAGGAGGCAGCGCCTCAGCGGAGTTTGGTGCTTCGAGGAAACCCACTGCTGGCGTTCCGAAACCGCGAGGTAATTTTGGATCACGGCAGATGGACTCGATGTCTCGGATTAAACCGGCCTGGTGCATCGGGGTGGGGGGGGGCTGCAGCCAGCCGCAGTAGCCACGAGGAGGCGACCAAACCCCAGGGAAGGACCAGTGCGGAGCTGCGGGAGCAACGGGGACACCCCGGCCTCGCTCCTCCCCTCCGCTTTATTTTTGCTGCGATTTGTTGCGAGAATCCGAGTCACAGCAAAAAGAAAGTGAAGAGCCTGGTGCTGCAGCCCGCTATCAAAGCTGAAGAAACAGTTTGTCAGCTGTATTGCTACTGAAAGCCTCTTACACTGGACGTGTGCGGGGAAACAGAAGGAACCGTGTTTGCAAAAAAGATGCGCGCTTGAAATCTCGTTTGTGGATGGATGTCAGTGATTGATAGGTAATATAATGGCAAGAAAGCCAGCGGGTTCAAAGGCCATAAACTAACAAATGAATGTAGTGGAAGCTCTAAGACACAGCAAGGGCTATAGACAAAAGCTATAATGCTGATTATTTTTTTCCTAATCTTATTTTTTTCTTGCATGAGTTAAACCTGAGACTGTCTCCCTTTGCTTCAGCACGTTATTCCAGCCGTTTCTCTGTTGCAGTAGGATTTCTAAAACCAGGAACCACTTTCTGTCACAATAGTTGCTTATTCTTGCTCGATTCAGAGGAAGGTTTTTATCACGTTCCTGCCTCCCTGCCAAGCTCGCCAGGGCAGGCTCCCTGCGGTGCGACGGCCCCAGCCTTGGTGGTGCCGCGGCGGCCGCGCTCCGGGTCCTGCTCTGCTCACCGACACCCCGAAGGCTGACCCGCCCGACTTGTATCGCTCAGTCTCTGTCCGGCTTGAGTGTGGCAAAGGACAGGGGGTAATGACAGGAAATCTGCTGCTTGGCTCGGGACGAGCGAGGGGCAGGGAGAGGGCAGGGAACCGCAGTAAGAGCGATGGTGGAGCTGGTGACCGCCCCGCGCCAGCCGTACCACCCTCCTCTCTGCCCACCCACTTCTCTCCCTTCCTACGCCCCTCTCCTTTTCTGGTCTTTTAAAAACATTGCCTTCGATTCCTGACTTTAAACCACAGAGCGTATCCCACTACCTCAAGGAAGTTCATGTGGGAGTCCGGCCATCGTGCCCCCGGGGTTGAACACCGACGGGGCGGGAGGGAGCGGAAGGGCACCGAGCGCTGCTGCCGGCTTCGCCCCGTGACCCCCCGACGTCTGCTCCTCCGCGCCGCCGTCTCCAGCCTCCCAGCACCGCTGCAGGCGGCCGCGGCCTGCGAATCCTCCGGCACCGGGGGCTGGACGTGGTGGTGCGCCACGTTAGCGGGTCACTAGGGAAACCCGCTCGTGTTTTCGTTTGGTTACAAGTAGATGTGGGGGAAAAAGGCCAAACCACAATTCTGTAACACTTGCTTTATCCAGAGCAAAGATTTATTCACTGAAAAGATTCCTACATATCCAGAATTTTATTAGCATAGAGTGCACTCTTTTATTTTTTTTTCCTTTTTTGCTGGTTGCATAAACTAATACAGAAACTGTTGTTAATACTAACAATTTTTAATTAATTTAATAGCAATTCTGGAAGACACTCAGTTGATAGAAAATATAAAAAAAAATTTTTTTACTGTACAAAGTTTACATCACATTTGAAAAGAAAACGTGTCCATTTTCACCATATTACAGACTCCATTTACATTCACTACTGACGTGTGGCTTTTGTAGCAGCATTGTACAGCCAACTTCACATTTACAACTCTAAAATGGTACAGGCTTACCGTGCCTCACGCCCTTCCACCAGCACACGAGGAGACAGTACGTGTGACCAGAAAACGATGCACCCGAACGCCTGGCGCTTGGCCTGCGACCTGTTGAAGGACAAGAGAGCTCCGCTCTCTTCACAACTGTGCAACTCCACCGGTTCCAGGCGAGTGCCAGGCATCTTACACCAGCTGATTAAAACAAAAATTGTCCCAGAGACAGTAACCAGTCTCCCCTCTCTGATATACGGGGTCCAGGGGGGCTGGGCTTCGCTTTCAAGAGCAATTTATGGGTGTGAAACACATAAACCAAGGCCAGGTTGAATTAGAATCCCAAATCTCACAGTTAAAGCAGGTTTCGACCCCCCCTCCTGTGCCCAGGGCAGCGTTCCCGGGGGCACCCCCGGGCAGCGCTCTGCTGGGATGACTCTCCCCTTCGTGTTCAGTGCGCTCTGAGGTGCAGCATGAAGGGACAGGAAGGCTGTGGCCCTCTGAAAGCAGGGGAAAGTCCTCACAGACACCTGAAGGCAACTGTGGGAAGGACAAAAGGTGATTTTTTTTTTTTTTTTTTTTTTTTTTTTTTTTTTGTAATTATTTTGTTTTAATCTGGCTGGTCATCCAGTGCTGGCTGTCCTTCTCTTAGCCAGTCATCTCAGAAAAAACAAGTGAGACTGTATTGCTTTCCCAGCGCAGTTCTTGCACATTTGCACAGCAGCGACGCTGCTGCTGACCGGGCAAGGAAACACCGTCTGTCGGCAAGTTGGGCGACCGGTTCCCACACCGAGAAGTTCAGGGCGTCCCGGCTGTTGGGACCCACTTTACGCACAGGGATGGCAGAAATGAAGAGTGAGGAGCACACCAAGGCTGCTGCTGCCCTCGAGCACCGGGCTAGCCGAGGGGCTGTGCAGATCTCTGCAGGCTACGAAGCAACAATCTGCGTCCAGCAGCAGCTTCTGCTCTTCTCCAGGGCGAGATGCGCAGCGGCGCCTGCGGCGGGTTTTGGCCGAGGGGTGTGTGGAGTCACCGGTCCCATCTCTCCCGGTGTGAGGTGTGGGCCGTGCTGTTATTTAAGCAGTACTTGCTGGGAAAACAACTTCTGCTTAAAACCGCTGACGCACAACGTTATTGTGAGAGAACAAACAGTAGCATCTTGAAGAGAACCGAGCGGTGTAGGTTAAGTACACAGTAATAGTTGGAGGGGATTTATTTGCTTTACAAAGTTGGGGGAGAGGCAGGAGGTCGAGAGTACCGCAATACCACGCTTGGCTACCGCCAGACCCATTTTTTCTTTTGCATCTGACACATTTAAAAAGCGACGCTATGAAAAGATCTGTAAGAGAATGTAGCTGGCTTGCGCATAGTAGGAGCGAAGCTCTCTGCTCAACAGAACTCAGGAATTATTTTTGCCGCTTTGATTTTTTACCGAAGTCAGTCAGCCACCTGCAAGTAGCTGAGCTGAGTGCCTGTCCCTGTGCTGGCCTCCCAGAGGGCCCTGAGCTCGTCTCTCTGATCCTCACGTCAGACCCTTGTGATGACGGTGAGAGGTGTGAGGGGGGGTGACAGTGCTGCTGGAGGAGACACGTGGTGACTTCCAGGGAGCCCCAAGGAACTGTCTGACCACAAGGAAGTACTGAAAGGACCTGAACGCTCGTTGTGTAACGGGGGTTCTCCCCCTGCTCTGGCTGGCAGGGGCAGAGGAATACGACCGGGAGGCAGGAAGGAGCCTTTGCTAACGCTGCTGGCAACTCATCTGCAAGTGTGACAATGTGTCTGTCACCTGACGTGCAATAATTGGCTGCATCCTTTACAACCTGCGTGTTGCTGGAGAGGGCTGTGCGGGGGTTGTCTTCAAATTAACCTTTGAAACAAGTCTGAGCTGTTGGGCTGAGGCAGGACCTCTAGACCAAGATGTAACTTTCTTAGTTGCAAGATCTGTCATTTCCCCAAAACAACAGCTTTAGTCCTAAATTCTTTTAAAACAAACAGCTTACAAACTTAACGTGGAGCCAGCAACACTGTGTGTGCATGGCAGAATGACTTTGAATCTCTTAACAAGCTCTCTGCATCAAGACTTTATTTAATGCATTATTTAGGGTTGGCTTTCTCCTTGCCTTGTCTCTCTCACCTCACCCTGCAGCGCTGGGCAAAGTCTTTTCTTCTACAAATGAAAGGGTGAGGGGGGCAGGAAGAGTCGAGGCCTGTTGGTCAGTGTTACAGTTCCAGAAATGGTGCTGGTTTAGGGGACTAGAACATGTTGTGCCTTAAACTTCAGAAGAATTTGGTCCCTGTGCACAGAAGTGCAAGTCATGTTTTTACTTTTTAAAAGGCCAGCAATTCTTCAGCTTCCTAGAGGATTTTATGAGAACAAGCAACTTTTAGTGTGAGTTCTGGGGGGAAGAGCGCTTGAATCTTCAATTGAGACACAGCCTCCCCGATCAGAATCGCACCAGCGTAACTTAAGTGGAGGTAACCCAGAGCTTGGCCCATCCCTGCTGAGACAAACCTCAGAGCACAATGCTTGGGGAGATTGCTTTTGATTTTTTACCTTAATGAAAGAAAAATGCAATCTGGAACTCCACAGCCCTTGTACCAGATGCATTGACATTCTGAAACAAGCCAGTTCCGCCCAGTTCCACTTCTCTTAGGGAAAACAAATTCTCTGAAGGCAGAAGATAGCTCCCATTTACCACAGACATGAGAAGGAACTAGAAATAGTTCTTTTTTTTTCAGTGCTAGTTGAGAATGGCTGTAGTTAAACTCGATTCACTGTTTATTATGTTTAAAAAAATATAGTTCACATAAAAGTATCATGTAAACATTCTTTAAATAATTGCTGGTGCTCAGGCAGAATTGAGACTTTACAAACAACACAGGACTGTGAACTGATGGTCGTGTGGCTTTCAGCTGTGGCTGCACCAGTTTCATAGCTCAGAAGATTCAGTGAAGATTTCGGATGCTTTGTGTAAGCAGGCAGACAACGTTATCACAAGACAATTACACACCACGCTATATCTTTTGATTACTCGGTTCCAGGATTCCCAAGCCAAATCTTTCAAAACGCAGGACAACTTTGCTACTGTTAATGCTGAAAAGAGCGGGGAGGGAGAGGAGAAGGGAGGGGGAAAGAGTTATTTACTTTTAATTTTTCTTACAAAGCTACAGTCCTATGAAAGGAACTAAAATGGGTTAGACTGATCTCATACAACTTCAGATCACCCAAATTAAGTAGCGGTGATTAAGTAGTAAACACATGAATTTATTAATGCAAACCTCATCAGTGAAAACATAGAGCACAAATCTGATTTGCCTCGAACTGGAGAAACGGGAGGTTTTCCTAAGTACTTAAAGTGGGTAGAAGCCCAACACTTGTTTTCAACGGGCACTTGGTTTCCTTGAAGTAGAAGGGAAGGAAAAAATGACTGACTGAGAGTTTTAAGAGAACAGTGTGTTTGACAAGGTACATCAATCGGTTCCAACAACCCCAAACCCATTTGCTCCTCTTTACAGACTGTAGCTAGTGCATAAAGACGTCTTTCCTTCACCCTTAAACTGGCAGCAGAACTAGAAACATTTTCACTTCCAAATGCCGTCCCACATACGCACTCAGGTGACAGCAAAGCAGGCAGCCTGGATACGTGAGCTCTTGCAGGAGACTTTGAATGAGTATGTGGGTGTTTTTGTCCTCACTGAAGACAGCAGAAGCCTCCCTGGCTCTTGGTGCATATTCTCCTCCGTCCCTATCCTCTCCCCTCCAAAACAAGGTATTTTTTCAAAATCATGAATCAGTAAAGAATGAAGAAAGACCTTTTCTAAAAAGGCACGTGTTTGCTGTGTTACCTACAGTTCTGCAAAGCCCCTAACGTTATGTCAGACATTCTGTTGAACAGGGGATGTAAACAGAAGCAAATCATAAAATTCAAAGCACTGGATTTGCAAGGGGAGGAGGAGGAACTGAAGGGCCCTCTTGCTTTCCTCCTCTTTTACACACCATTGTGGCTGATCCCAGCTGACCCGTGGGGGCCAGTTCTGGACGCCGCTGCTGGCCAAGGGACCGCAATCTGCTCCAAGCAGAGCGAGGACCATCCTTCCTTCCACGCAAGAACCACACCAGCTTCCCCCAGCCCCTGACAAAATTGACCCTGGCTTCCACGCCGGCTCTGGTCCCAAGGGAGAACCAACACAACCTGGCCCTTAACTCCTGCTGGTTTGCAGCGCGAGCGGAGCGTTCAGTCATTGGCTGAGCCTGTGAAAATGTACCTGTTACCTTCAGTCACAAAGGCGCAGTCCGGTGCTGAGGGTGACAGGCAGAACCTCAGACTGCAGCTAGGAACCGGCCCCCCTCTGCCTCATCAGACTTGCAGGACATGCACAAGTCACACCAGTTCCAGGAAAAACCCCGACCTGCTGGGCAGGACGCCCGGCACTTGCTGTTAGTTAGAGAGCAGATCATTAGACCCTTCGTAGGAGGAAGTTACAGCCTGCTGAAATGCTTCAGAAGTGAAAGGTGGCCACGTTGTTAGACAGTAACTTCTTGCAGACAGGAGTTGTTATTCAAGCTAACAGCCCACACCAAGCGGAAAAAGGCAGAAAAGGAGAATTCGGATAAAGTGTTGATTATGTCCATGGGTTAATTTCGTGGTTGGTTTTTGCTTTTTTAAATGGAAGGTGATTGTCCAAGTTGCCGGTTAGGATACAACACATGGAAGCATGCAAGGTGGAGCCCATTATTGCACCAGTAGCTACAACCTACAAAGAAATATGGGAGGGAAGGGGAAAAAGAGACCATGAGAGTTAGTTTTCAGTTATTTAAAGCAAGCCCTTGAGAACTACATATTATAAAGCTTATACCAGAATAAAGCACGGGGTTAGTACAGTGTTTCTCACAGGATTTGTCAGAGGGGATGTGACCATGTCTTCAGTGGGGTTGGCATCTGAGTAGGTCTCTGGCTGGCATGGCTACCGAGAGCCTCCCCAGCACGACGTGAAGGCACCACAGTTTGCAGGGGACGGACAGCTGAGCTGCCTGCACTTTCCCTTCAGTGAGCACTAATGCTGATAATTAATACTGACACGCAAAGTACTTCTCCCCTTTTAAATGCTCTGAGCAGAGGAAAAAATAGTAATGTATGCAAATTGACATGAACCACTTGTGTGTGTGTGGGGGGGTGTTGGTCCGTCTACCCAGGCAAAAATAATTAGGGTAGCTACTACATAAGAGATCGTTCTGCAGTTCCATGAGCTGTTCAAGAATAACTCCCTATGGAAACACTAATCCAAAATAATCACTTGGAAAATTGCTCTGGAATGGAGCATTCTCATGGACTGACTGCCCAAATGGGAAGCATTACTTCAGGTTCACTGCCAGCGTGATGTTAGAGGACAATGCGAGAGTGTGACTGTCTGCATGGGACTGAGGAGGCAGCGTGGACTCTCAGCCTGCTCTGTGGTGGCTGGCTAGGTAGGTGACAAGATGTCAGCTCAGTCCTCGGAGTTAATGATCCAACACTAATAGATCTTATTGTATAGAGAAACGAGGGCAGGAAAATGTTGACACACAGAACCACAGCGTTGGAGTACAGCGTGTTTCTGTACGAAGGAAAAAATAGAACCAAAGGACACTGCTGTAGCATGCAAATCTCCTGGCAAAAGAACTGCTGCCTTCTTAACATAACACAGTTTAAACACAATGATCTTCCTTTGCGGTAAGGGAAGATTAGTTTTAAAAAAAGAGGAGGAACTGTCACAAGTGGGGCTGGATGACTTGAAGGAATGGATAATGGAAAAGCCCATACTGGAGGTAGCTGGGTACAGATCTGGCCAATGCAAGCTCTGCCTGGCCCTAGGGATTGGCGTGCTTTAGGCCAGAAGAAGAAAAAAAAAATGTTTCTCTTATGACTGAAGGACAGCTAAGAAGCAGCAGTTACATGCAGGTCCATTTTTTAGCTCAGATTTTGTTGGTTTCTCTTTAAATTTTTATTTTAAGAAATCTGGACAATTGAAATCACAAGGACTGAAGAGGAGCTGTGACAGCTCTGCTGGAGCAGCGAGTGTCCAGGATGCAGGAGGACACCCCGGCTCCCAGCTGCGTGCCGCAGCACACCGAGCCGGTCACGGATGAGGCAGAGAACAACTGCCACGTGTAAGGTGCTCTCAACCCTTTCTTGCACCTTTTTCAAATGAGTGCTGTGATACACATATATACCTGTCTAGTGTAAGGCAAAAATACCAGATAGTTCTACTTGTCAGTGAGGGGGTAGTAAGCATTCAACCTCTGCTGATAATAGTGTCCTTTTGTATAAAGTTGAGGCCACAGTCTTGCAGAAGAATTCCATATTTTAAAGTTGTTAGACATCATAATGTATCAGGGATCCAGCCCAAATGTCAGGGAAATTGCACAAGAAACAAATGGTGACATTTTCAACCAAAACCCCGAACAAACCACACCCAAGGCACAAAATGCCATGGCAGTCACCATATAAGCAAACAGAAGTGTTTGGTTCATTACAATAAGGTATTGCAGGAAGATCATGAAGGGTTATGGGAAAGAAAGGGGTAGATTAAACATCAAAAAAAAAAGGAGAAAAAAGAAAATCAGTATTAAAGGTTCAGTAGATGGAAATAAACATTGAGAAAAGTACGTGGTAAATGGGCACTGGGCACAAGCATGTCTGATCCGCCCCAGACATCAAAAACGCTGAGGTCACCAAATGCAACCTTGTGCCTAACAAACTCCAGTCCCTCGGGCTACTCGGTGGAACAGCAGCCAGCAGTGAAAGATCAGACAACTGACAGAACACGGGGCTGGGGGTCTCAGGCCCTTGGATCTAGAAATTGTATCTGCTTCGCTTGCACTTGACTGGGGGAGAAGCAAAACTGGGACCATCCTCTGAGAGTGAGAGGTTGTTCAGGGGAGGGGAGGTTGAAAGTTTTACACCTGGTGGCTTCATGCTCATCCAGCCTGAACTGGAATGAGTTTTATGTTGTGGTCGGGTCTGTCGTAACAGATGTCGTGGGATTTACAGTCAGGTGTTTGGAGGGACCTCTTCCAGTTTTGTCAGTTTATGGATGCTTGATCGTATGAGACCTTTCTTCCCCAACTGCAACACAGAAACTGATTGTGACCTGATGAGGGTTTATGCTGACTTCTCATCATTTATCTTTCTTTGTCCAGCTCTTGACATAACTCCAACTTAGAGATTCAGTCCCGACATTGCCACGCGTTCCTAGCTGTCAGTTTACTGCATCTTCAGGATTTCTACATCACTTGACATATGATTACCACCTACTTTGTTTTTTAACCCAGAACTCAATTATTCTGAGTCAGGCCTAATGCTGCATTTCTTTATCTGCCTGTGCCAATTGGGAACTCATCCATAAAGAGGAGGAGGGGGTTGGATTTTTTTTTCCCCACATGTTCCTTGAAGAAGGCTACAAATTTAGGACTCTTCCAAAATTTTACAGTTCAGTTTCAAAGGGAAACAGTGGCACATTCTTTGGTCCTTCCCTTCCTCAGTCAGTACCAGCCACGATAGGGGAAACGTTAAGCACTTTGGGGTCAATTTGGGCCCTTTCCAATACTGTTGGTATAACACTCTGAAACCAAACGTAAAGCTGGGTAAGTAATCTACTGAAGGAGGGAGGTGAATATGTTGAAGTAGGAAATTGTCTGAAGCACACAAGCGTAATTGCATAATTTCCTAGTAACTAGAGAAGCAGAACAGCACACTGTTACTCTCCCATCAGAGGTCTGACAGCCCCCAGGAAGGCAAAATAAAGCCCAGGAATGATCAGTTAGCAAATTCTGAATGCCATAAATGTTCTTAACAGCAGCAAATACTCACTCAGCAGACTTCCAGAAATGCCCCGGGTGGGAGAGCCGTCGATTCAGTTTTGGCAGTTTTTCCAGCATATCCATGAGGACCGTGAAGCTGGGTCTCTCACTGAGATCAAATGACCAGCACGCTGAGAGAATTTCCTGCAGAGGATATTTGTGGCTCATTATCTCCACTTAATTCACAGGTCAACTGTGCAGACCAAGTAGCAGACTGAGCACTGTGACTTGTGTGAACCCAGGCAGAGATACTATTTAATAGGGGTCTTGGACATTCTTATAATCAGAGAGTATCCTGCGTGCCAGTGTATGTCTACTCTGTAGGGCAGTTACGGGCAGAGGATTAGTATCTAAGCTGGTGTCCCATTCTAATCTGTTCTCTCTCCTGCCCTTTATCTTTTGAGTTATAACAGGAGTGAAATAAATCTCCCCTTTAAGCAGCTCCCTCGTTTTCTGACAAATAGCTATACAGAAGCATTCCTGCAACTGTGAGGTACTTACATTGACTTCTTTCCCCAAGCTAACAGTTGCAAGGACTTGTTTCACTCCTTCACCACTTCCAATCTGCCAGATGAGCGCCTCTGCGGGCTGGTTCTTGAAAGGCCATTCTCTTGCTTGGAGCTCATACCACACGGTCCTGCGACATCAACAGACAAATCAAGCCTTTGCCTCCTTCTAAGAGAAAGATGCAAAACCCTGAGGCTGTTCCAATTTCTTCAGATAAGCTCTGGAAGGTGTCTAAGGCTGTGCAGCAAATCCCTCCCGCCCCACGCACCTCCCGCCCGCAGCTTCTGTAGTAGGTGAGAGAAATGTGTCCTAGCTAGAGCCGCGAGTCGGTGAGAAACAGACCCCTGACTCACAAGGCTCATGTCTGCTACAAATCTCATTCAGCATGCTCCCCTGGCACTCCTAGGTGTTCCTCTCTTACCCAAAGGCATAGATATCTGCAGCTTTGGAGAAAGGCAGCTTGTCTTCATCTTTCCCAGGGGCCATCTCACGAACAATTTCAGGGGCCAGGTAGCATAACCAGTCATGAGGCAGCTTCAGTTCATTCTCCCTCCTGCGTTCAAAAGAAAGAAGCGGTACTGAAACACTACGGCTTCAACCAAGAACTGCATGGACCATATCTGTGCTTCACTTAATGCACTGACTTTATTTACTCAAATGTTTTCGCTGACATTTCCTTTCTAATTTTCTTGCCACTTTAAAAATACACACGTGTTAGTCTGACTCTCCAGCTCATTCTTGGGCTTAAAGTTTTCTTTCTTCTGTGTTCTGAGTCTTACTCCATACATAACTTTCTATGGTTCCTGTAGCACATTGCTAGGAAGAATTCTGCTTAAAAAAAAAAACCAAAACAAAACCCAAAAACCAACCAACCAAACAAACAAAAAAAACAAACCAACAAACAAAAAAAAAAACCAAAAAGTGCATATTCCAAAAATGTGTGTATGTACTAAAGCAATTAACAGTCCTCACTTGTACTGTGTAACACATCAAAATGTTTCCCCATTTGATCATTTTTTATCATTCTAGAAGTGGACCAAACATTGAAACCTGCACTTACCTTCCTTCCTGAACCACACCCGAAATTCCAAATAATCCAAAATCAGTGATCACAACTTTCCCATTGTCATAGAAAACATTCTTGGATTTCAGATCCTTATGTACAATCCCCTTTGCGTGAAGATACCCCATGCCCTGGGAAACATATGCAGAGATGTAAGCTTTTTTTTTATTATTATTATTTACAAGCCTTTAACTCTGGGCATGCTCTGCTTTCTAACACACATTTATTCTCATCACTCCAGCATAAATGATCAGTTGTAACTGGGGACACAGCAGCTGTCTGACTCGTGCAGAAAGGGTGCAAGGGAAGTTACAAGGGAGCAGATCTTGGTTTAGTGCTCAACCTCTGAATTGCTTTTCATCCTCTGCATAGTAGGGCTGCTGGAAGGGTACTCTTAGTTGAAGCATTAAGTGGCTGTGGACTCTGCAATTCTGAAGAAGTCTGTATGTGTAAGAGCAATGAACAACTGATGCAAGTTTGCTTGCTAAATTCACAGGATATTTCTGCCCCAAAAGAGAACAGCAGCTTTAGAAATGCTTCTGCAGTTGAGAAATATTGAAAACAAGCACAGAAAACACTGTGCAAATGTGGGAGAAAATGCCATCTCCTTCAGAACGCATTAACTTAGCTGCAGTTACTAGTGAAGAGACCAGGAAGAAAACCGATCCTGAATACTTTTTGTCACTGTTCCCTCCATCTAAATCCTCCCTCCCCAGCCCCTTACTGACAAGCAGAAGGTCTGTTTCTCTCCTCACAAGCCCTTAGCTTACCGCCCACTAAATTAGCACTTTTTTCAGGCAAATGAGTATCTCCTGTTGCAACACCCTGTCAGGCTGTGGAGACACAGAATCTCTCCAGCTGTGCAGCCTCCCAGCTCTTGCTGAGGAACTGCCCAGGAAGGGGATATCTCCGTTAGCATAACATACTCTTACCTTAATGATCTCCTGTGCTATCTGCCTGGTTTTGTTAATATCCAGGGATATCTTGGGGTCCCTTACAAAGGAGTGAAGCGTTCTTCCTTTGCAGAAGCTACAGGAAAGAGGAACAACAATCCTTGAAAAGGTCTATAGAACATTGGAGGAAAATAATAATGCAATACTGGATCTTCAGTTGGTTTTCTTATCGTGCTGACAGAATCCCAGCCCTCTTCCACTGCTGAGAAACACCATTTTGAAAAACTTTAAGGACCCAATTGATTTACATCGGTGTGGGTGTACACATGTATAGGACACCTATTGCTGAATCACGCTCAAGCATATGCAACAAAAGCTTATGTGTTTCTTCAGAGACCCAGTAGTTGTTATACTGCTCTGAAATCTGAAGGCCGGTTTTCAAAATCTGAGCACCAGCTTCTGCTGCTGGTGCTACTGGTCACTTGAGCAGGAAACTTCTGGAACTGGCAACCAGAAATGACTGCGTACCTCCCTGCCAGGCTCTGAGCACGGCATGCCTTTGGCCTTACTTAAATTCAGCCTGCATATGAACATCATGAAAAACTGTTATTTAGTGGCTAAATGATCCTCATCTCAACTAAATACTGAAAACAGAAGAGAGGAGAAAATTAGTAACCTTTTTGCCTAATCAGCAAGTGTCCCTTGACAGAAGAGAAAACTGTTGCATTATCAGCCTCACACATTGGTTTATTGTCACTTTGCGGAATTGGAACCATCTGGAAGTAGATGGCAGAGGAAGAGCCTGTTCCAGATTTTTTTTTTTCCTCATGCTTTTTGAATTTTATTACTTAAGAATTCAAGGACAAAAAGAAAATTGCCAAAAAAAGCTGTATGTTCCCTAAAAGGAGACAACCCTAGTATCCAGAACTCTGAGCAACACAGACCACATTCATGTCTGCCACCTCCTGACTGAAGCAAGAGGTTTATTTTTATATATAAGGAATAGATATGTATCTATATAATTTGTATATATTAAAAATAATACTAAGATGTTATATCCTTACCTGGTAATGATTGCTAAATGAGGAGGGTTCATGCATGCTCCCATGAAAAGTACCACATTCTCATGCCGGGTCTGTCTGTAGTTCATCACCTCCTTTTTAAAAAGCTTGAGGTGATCCTGATTGTTCCCGTCTATCTCCAGCAGCCTGATGGCCACCTCCCCGTGCCATTTTCCCTTGTAAACCTTCCCCCATCGTCCTTGGCCAATAGGATCCCCCAGTTCAATCTGTTCAAAGGGAATGTCCCATTCTTGCAGGTAGACGCTGGTCTGGCTGGGTTTGCGATAAATCATCCCTTGCAAGTGCGGCCGTCTGTTTGGCAAGTCTTCCACCTCATCCTCATCATCTTCAGGTTCTGATTTATTAGTCTCCGGTTCTTCCATCTGTTCACAAAAAGAGAAGGGAAACATATCCTGAGAGTCCCATCCGAGGGGCAGAGCAGCCTACCAGCCAGCAGCAGGGGCTGCTTGGAGAGAACCTCTGGGGCTGGGATGTACGCGTTGGCCCGCAGCTCTAGAAGTGCACCCCGCGGCACAAAGTAACCTCAGGAGGCTGCAAAAAGGCATTTATCTGCTGTATGTCAGTGCATGCAGGTGAAGACAAGAAAGGCTTTATCCTGTGTAGAGTTAAATTTGTATAACCAGCACTAACATCGAGGTTCTCGGGATTTGGCCTTCAGTGTGGGGCAAAACGCTACAGACCATTCTGAAAGGAAGGGTCAAGAACCTCTTTGTTCATCAAATAAATGTGGGCGCAGGGTTTTTTTGAGATTACTCAAGTTGTTCTGTTAGAGAAAAGTACTCCAAAAAAAATCAACAAGCTAGATTCAGAATCCAGTAATTTCTGCTGGCATCATCAATTCTATCTCTATTGGTCTATTCATCCCTGCAGAAACCCACTTCAGTGTTCATACTGCAAGCTGGACACGTGCTTAGGCACTACCAAAATCAGAGACTCTTGTGATAGGTAAGGAAAGGCTTTCCTGTGCATAACGTAAGGCCAAGCTTACAGCATTTGCTTTGCAGGATCTACAATGAAAATCTGACCACGGGGAGTACCTACGCATGCGTTACTTGCAGATTTGAGGTCTGCAGAGCATTTAGACCTTGTAACTTCAGCAGCAGGCCTGCAGCTCTTGTAATGTAAAAATGGCTGTGCCAAACTGAGCCAGAAGTGTGAAAAATACCATCTTAGCCCAATTAGAAAAAGTTAAGTATTGTTACAAGTACTTAATTATTTCAGCCTAGCTACAGAAACCATGAATTTTCAGTTGATATCTTTGCAGTACAGACAGTTCAGCAGAGCTGAGGTAAGGCACAGTTAGTCTACACTCATAATTCCAGGGCCGCAGCTTTTTCACTGCACTTTTAACGTGGCATTTCTGATCATACAAAAGGGGAAGCCAGGAAACCTACCTCTGCTTCACATTCAACTCCATCTGCGTCTGGCTGTTGATCAGCACTGACAAGAGAAGACAGGTTTACAGTGAAAATAATGTTTGTGTCCACCTGGGTTAGAAAAGCGGGCTGCTACCTATGCCATTAGTGGAGTGGAAAGATGCAGATAGAGAACAGATCTTGATAGCATTGTAGTAGGTCAGAGAAAAATACAATTACTGCACTACTTAACAGATAAGGGCTTTAAGCTTACTTTAGCAAATGGGGGACAAAGATGTTGAAGTGATTTTCAATGATTAAGCAGTAGGAACTGATTTGGCAGTGACATGGCTACGCTATTACAATGTGCTCCAGTAATGGATATTCCCGTTCCTACTACTGAAACACCTGCAGTGGAGAAGCAACTGGGGGTGCAGGCTAAAACCTTTTGCATGCCCTACAATTCACATCCTGAAACAGATGTCACTTGTAGCTAAATGTGCCACGCCCTTTTAATTGCAAATCTCGGTAACTGATCTCAGGAATGCACACATAACTAGATGGTAAAGGCATGGACTTCTCACTGTCCTGTTTAAAGTAAATATCATATTCAGCTTCATAAAAATGGGAAATACCAGTATCACTCCTGCTGACCAAAATTATCCTGTTCTCAGATGGCAAATTCGGTTTCGGTCATAACACAGTGCTTTCAGACTGATCTGAAGATTATCAGGTAAACACTATGTGAATAAAAGAATTTAAAACTATACTTACTTAGTGTCTGCAGCTGTTTCTGGAGGCTGTGCTGTTTGTGCAGGACTGGGAATTTCTGGGAAAGCAGAAACATTTATGATACATAATTTTACACTTTAATCTCTCATAGATTGGAAGTTTTAACATTGCAATACTGATTATTTGCTTCTTATTCAGGATTATAAAGGAAACTCAACCACAGACAGCATGATTTTATACTACTAGTCGTTTAAAACTATGCTCATCTTTCCTAGTACTTACATGCCTGTATATTGACCAAGCCCAGTCTTCTTCCCATTCACCTATTTATCTGTTATGTCCTTCAAGGTCAGTCCTTGCCTCTGAACTGCTCGCATGCCTTCATGTTGTCTCAGACAATCAGAAATACATAAATCCTCACAGAAGTAGAACGTCTGAATTCACCTATACTGCAGGTCATGTATTCCAAATGCACCTAGTCTGTCCAGTGTCACCAGTGCCCAGGAAATTCAGCTTGGGTTGCAAATGCTTCCAAAATTCAGAATAAATACTCTGTACCTGGCATCCTACATCATCAATTCTCACTTTGGACACAAACAAGCTGTTTCTGAGGGTTCACAAACAGTTGACTGAGAAAAGTCAATGTGAAAGAAATATGCAAATCCACACATGATTAGTGTTGCATCATGGTTAAATCCCATAGGCAAGAGCCTCGGTTCATAAAGGTAAGCTCAGCATTCCTGAACTGGCAGTGTCCATTTACACTACCTAGGTACATAACCCTAAAAGCAAGACGTTTTAAAGAAAAAACATGGCTTTTAAAGAAAGAACCTGGCTAAAGAAAGAACACAGCAGAAAGCTACTGCTTTACAACTGAATATTCCAAAGCTTCACCTTAGTACATAAATCACATCACTACCTCATATGAAGACAGAGGCCTGAATTATATACTGAGATAAGAGAAAGTCTGAATTGGTTTAGGTACTTTCTTTTTTTTTATAGAAGTGGAATTATTGTTCTTAGACAGCATGCAAAAGTTTACAAACAAGTTACTTTTTGGCAGCAGAAGCTGGTTAGTAGAATTAAAACAATCAACTCACCTGGGAAGATAAATTGTTGTCTATGCTGGATGTAGTAGGCAGCTTTTTTTTTTTATTTTTATTTTTTTTTAAAAACGGCAAAAAAAAAATTACCAGGAGAAAAAAAAAGACAAAAACAAAAACAAAACACAAACAAGTTAGAGGATCATCAGTAAGTGCCCCATATGCATTCAATGAATTAGTCCCAACTCACTATTGGGAACAGATTAGTAGATTATCAGCCTGCTTGAGGGGGTGAATTTCAGCACATGCATTTTGGTAAGACTGACAGATGATACTTATTCGAATGAAAGCTGTGTTACCAATAAGCAAACAGCCTGGTGGGAAAACAACACATTCAGACTTCAAGTGGCAGAAGCAAATGTAGAGAACCCAGGAAGGCTAAAAGGCAGGCCCACATAAAGGCTGGTGCTTTGATGCTCTCCCATGTCTTCAGCTTTTCAGAGATGCACCCAGAGAAGCTGAAGCTCATGAGCCAACTCTGCAAGTATTTTTTTTTATTTCAGTGAATTTGAGCAGTATGTCCTAATACAAAGTAGTTGCAGTAGAATCCTTGTACTAAACTGACTCTCCTGCTCCTCTGGAGTAGGCTGAAATAACACCTTTCACTCACAGATCAAAAGCTTGATGCAGAATACAGCAATGCTGAAGGCTAGATGCAGCACCTAGTGAGCAGCAAGTGACTTCATTTCCAGACCAAACGAATTAAATTTATTCTCACTAGGTAAATCTTTGTCCTTGTTAGAGATTTTTGTCTCTATTGACATTGGTAAAGACTGCACATTTGAGTTCTTAATCTGTAAAGTATGTAGGATAAATTCTTCTCCACCGTACGTGTAAGTCAGTGGTTTAAAAATGAGTGTTGACTGCGGGTTATTTTTTGGAAGGTGCTGGTAAAGTAATTCATTCCAGTTCTCATTTTTATGTTTTGCTCTAGCAAACAACTTACTCATGATTTAAGCCACTAGTGACCAAACACAGCAGGCAGCATGCATTTTACAATACAATGAAAAAAGGGAGGAGAAAGAATATTTCTTTTTTTATTTTAGCCCTTTTCAAAAAAGGAGAAAATAAAAAGATCAAATTATTTCAGAAAGGTATCAACATTCCTCAATAATCTGTCTCCTGCAAAGGCATCTTGCTGATACCACTTAAAAACTTGTTAGAAGAGTCCATTTTCTTTTATCAGGTAACAACATACACCTTCACATCTTGCTTAAGACACAACCATGTATTCAGAAACCTGCAACTACCTAGGAAGCCTTGATCAGCCCCTACGTGGAGAGAGGCCTTTGTGGTCTTGGCAGAGGTCTCCTGGAAAAGATAACTTTACCTGGGAAGTTAAATCGTCCATCCCTCTGGCCCATAGGAGATGGGTTTGGGGGAGGTGTTGCACTGGGAGGGTTGGAAGACTGGAAAGGTGCTGGAGAAGATGGTGTGGATGAGGTTGTAGAAGAAGGATTGCTGCTGGAGTCCAGATGATTTATTGCTGATGGATGCTCCTGCAAAGCAAGAAAAGTCACTCATGAGAAAAGAATAAAGAGTTCCCCTCAGTGTTTACAGAACAACAGAGAAAGGAAAGCTGTCCCTAGCCTCGACCACAGCAGAGTTTTTCCAAGGGAGTAGGCAGCTGGAGCTGTGCACAACCTGTGTTTTACACGGAGAAAATGTCACATATCAAAGTCTCCTTGTAAAGTGAAAGCTCAAGGTGCCATTCTTGCTCCAACCAGCAAGATACTGCTGCCACCTCTCCTTATTGTAGCTCCTCAGTGACTTACAGACACAAGACTCACTTCAGTCACCATGTACCTTCTTAGTTAGTGCTTTGGGAAGGGTTCCAAACTGTGGTTCTGTTGGTCTGTCTACTGGATTATTGATATCAGAAGGGACAGACTCTGTTCTTCTTATTTTTGTTACTGAAAAACAGATTGGAGAAAGGAGAAAAAAGTGATAATCAGACTTTTTATTCTTGGGATACCATCAATTACATTGAAACGCTAAGAATTTGTAGAAAATTACTTACTGGGAAGGAAAGATATTCTACAAGCAGGTGCCTCTTTAGTACATTTGTTGTGACATTTTAATCTGAAAGAGAAACATTACATGTTAAATAGCAACTTGTTCTTTCCCAAAAAGAGGAAGCCTAGCCTTAATTTGTAATTCTTATGCTAATCTCAGAGGGAGTTCTGGAATGCTCTGGGCCCCAAAGAAGCATGCATTCATATGAAGAATCCTATTATGTGTGTCATTAGGCTAATGAAAGCCATACACATATCTTAGCATCTGATTTATTTTTAATATATTTACCTTCACTGTCTCTCATCCAGCGACAGTGAAGCACTAATATCTCACCGCTCTGGACTAACAACCCAGAGAGAGAAGCAGAAACTAATATCCTCTCTGTTATTCAGGTATCTGTCTCCCATTGCAAGATTTGCCCATGATCAGGTATGGAAGCCTGGGGCAGGGAAATAAATTTGTTTCACCCATGTGTCAGACTGCCAATCTAAAGCATAAGTTGTGCCAAAGCATCCTTCTGCCAGTTCAGAAGCTGACTGAAAAACTGATGCTGCTGCTAAGAGTGCATCACATCAAGAGATACCTGTTACTGGCAAACTTTAATGAATAAAATGCAAAGTTCTTCTGAAAAAGATCATCACCGTGTGCTTACCTGCAGTACTTACACTTCACCCCGAACATCATGCTTTTCTGACAGACTTGGCATATCTGAGATAACCAAGACTTTGTAGAGAATCTAAGTAGAGACAAGAGAAAAATTACGTTAACTAGTGCCTAAAGGAAAATTAACATTTGTACGTAGTTTTGGACAGGCTATCCTTCTTAAGCTCTTTCTGGAAAGGGCAAGTTGTGGAAAAGACTTCTCACTCTTCTGATCAAAAGCAACTGGAAGAAGGCTGGCACCAGCTCTGCTGGTCTATTCTAGTTCTGCACTCTTGGAATAGGGCTGAGAGCTGCTCAGAGGAGTCTGACAAGGGGACAGGGTGTGCATGAACGTATCTCTAGAAAGTCCTCAAAGCTGCAGCTCAGCAATTACAGATCTGAAGCCTCATGCAGTCAAAGATACCCAAGTGATAGGAGATCACTCCTTATTAAAAAACCCTCAAACTGGAATTGAGCTTCACCTCATGAAACAAGCAAGTACTCTGAGGGAGCAGCCAGCACGTGCTCCAAGCGCGGAGCCAGCCCATGAGCACGTGCTGCCTGCCCGTCGCTGTGTCCCTCCCCAGGTCAGCAGGATGTGTCATGTGCTGCTGGTTATATTTACCTGAACATCTCTGTAGAACCAGGACCCAATTTCGGGTGGGTGGGTGGTGGTGGGAGTGTTATCCCTTTTACCAGAAAATTAAATGGATTGGTTTGGCATTAGAACTGGCTGGCCCAGTTTTGGTATGGATTTGGGGAGGGGGAGATGCAGGAAGCTAAAAGGGAGGAAAAGGGAAGATATGCTCGTCCCACAGAGGGAGGAAGGAGCAGCTTCCTTTTCATGTGTTGCAGTGGAAGTGTTTTAGAAAAGGCATTGTGACACACCTAGCATGCTCGGTCCTATCACCCCATATGCAACACTGCTACTGCTGGTATGCTAGTCAGTACAGAATCACAAATCAATTGGCTTTGTAAAAAGGCTTTCAAGTGCATATATCAACAAGAAATGAAGCTGAAATACCTAGTTAAGGCTGAACTTGGCAAATGAGGCTCCCAACCCAACTTTAAAACCTATCTTAAGAGTCGTGACTGCTACAAACACTCTAAAGAGGACGCTGTCCTGGTGTGACCCCCCAGTTTGTTTCCTTTGTGGCTCCCGCAGCATGTGTTGCTTACCTGTGTGTTACAGCTAAGCCAAAGTCTCTTCGTACCGTTTGAGGGGATCCTTGGGAGAGTTCTGATGGAGAACAAAAGGATGGTTTAGGGAGGCATAACTGACAAGCGTGCTTGCCAGTCTAGACAGGAACAAAGCAATCACTGTCACAGATAAGGACTATTAGCCACGACACAGTTAGTGGCACAGCTGACATTGGTTTGCCTTCTGCTGTAAAGCTACTACCAGATACTGCTCTTTTATTTGTTTCCATATGGAGGCAACATAAGCTAAGATTTGGTGGTGGAATCATAATTCTTCCTTCTTTTTGTTAAATCATTATGTTTTACACTTAGGGATTATAGAAGTCCATCTGATCAGGTGTAGACCATTCTTAAAACAAAGTGGAAAGTCAGACTTTACTCCCAATTGGTTTACCACAAATACCATCACCCAATTTCCATGCAGTGTCAGTAGACTTCAGAATACTCTTTTACACTGAAAATTATCATCTCCATTTTATAGACAGGGCCAGCGTGACCCTGAAGAATGGAAAGATTTATATGTGAGATCACTTAGCTAGCTCGTAAGTGCAAAAAGGGAGAACTAGACTTCAAAATGCCAGTCCAGGACTCCGGTGGTTATACCACATAGCTTTCTAAAAACTCTCAAATACAAAGATTCTGGCATATTTTCTGAATTAAACCTACAGTCATATTGCCAATCTGGAGAAACAAATCTGCAAGTTTCAACACAGCCTCAAGGCGGGACACTGTCAATGCTTACAAACAGCCAGACTCTTTATTTGACCCTAGATGGCACCAGATTCTTTGTTATCATTATTGCAGTGAACTTCTAAAGGCATCTCTGGTCTTCAGCATCTCAGATTAGGCTGGAATGATTAGGTGCTTTTCCAAGGAATATTGCTGATCTAGTGTGGCCATCCAAATGCACGGTCATCTGAATTAATCATAATACAACAGTTAAGATGGCTAAATCCTTACTAAAGAGTCCTAATGAATATAAAAAAATTTGGAATTGAATGGGACCTAAAAGAGCCTACAGTATAGGTTTTAAAACAGACAATATGACTATATGCATAGAAGCACCAAAAGTCTTAATTTCTGTTTGACTTTATTCTAATGCCTTTTTTATTTATTGCATAAATTCTATCACTCTCCACAGAGAAATTCTCAGATTTCTGCTTGCATTTTCATTTTACAATTTTCTTTCTATGCTTTTTCATGTCTGAAAGTAATTCCTGGGATTTCTGTTTTAAAGGGCATTAGATGCATGTGTGGTGCTATAATGCCCTTATGTGGACTTTATTACTTTAAAAAAGGTGAGACACCTTCCAAGATGCCCATATCTCTCCACATTAGCTCCCAAGGTTACAGGTTGTGTCTGAGACACATGTCAGGATAGCTAAGGCACTAACTGGCATTGCTAGGTTACTGGATAAAAACCCAAGTCCTAGCCCTGTAAGCCATGAAACACGTGAATAGACTCATCACCATCAGAGGAAGTGTTCCACATTTAAGCACACGCTGAAGTGTTTCGCAGAAGGTTGCACTCAACTGTCTAATTTCACTATAGAGCTGCTTGGCAATGAATATCCAAAGATACTAATGGCTAGAAATGAAGTTATTTCTAGTATCAAGAGTCATCAGTAGCAGCTGTCTAAAGCCACAGACAAGCAATTACACCCAAAGCCCTTGCTTTAACCCTGTAAACATCAGCATTCCATTCCTTTGCTTTTGTCATCTGAAGAAATACCAGGTACAAAAAAGACCATGTAAACTTCCTGCAGTTCTCCAGTGGGCCAAGCTCCTGTTAAAGTTAACAGGACTGCTGGGATGGAAGGCCCTACTGAGGACCTCCAGAGGCTGCACAGGGATGACCAACTGATAGTTGATGAGGACAGGTTCCTCTCTCTCAAGCAATGAAACGAAGACAGCCCTGCAAAAATCTCTTACCGAACCTAGAGAGAAAAGAAAAATAATTTTTTTTAGCCATTCGTATTCATGTGACAGGATACACACTTTGCATGAGTAGAAACTCTTTCCTGCAGCATTTGATGTCGCGTTTACAAACATCTCGATTTTGCACAGGCTCCTGAAGTTGCTGCATAGCCAATAATTTCCTGACTACAAACCATAGTCTTTGCTGGGTAGAGCTCCAGCTCCAGCCTGTGAGCGAGGTGTACAAGAGTGCACCTGAATTTTGGCTTGCAGAGAAGTGTTAATGGGGCTGTGCAACTCAGCTGGCAGGCTCCACGGAAGTGTCTGAATCACAGAAGTGTGACATTCTGCAATTCCCATCAGACTTAATCAGTAAGACCTGGATCGCAGCACAACCTGGTTCTTATTACTGAATTTCAAAACAAAGCTGTGTGTTGGTCACAGACACTTACTTGCTGCATTTAGATGTTTAGCAATTTACAGGTTTTAGCACATGCTTCCTATGCACTCAGTGTGGAAGAATAGTGTACTAATTACAAGGCTACGCATTTATAATGAACTCTTTTATGTCAATCTGCAGGCAGTGCAGTACTGCAGCGTCAAAAGCACAGCCCTTTGCTGTTAATGCTCACACACAAAATCACAACTTCATTCTGAGCTGGGCTAGTTTCCCTTACATAAAAATGCAATTTTGGCAAAAAGGTCCTGAGCAGAACAGGCTCTCTGAACTCTTCCAGGTGGTCAAAGAGTTAGGGTAAATTGTAATGGTCCTGCTACAGAATTTGGATGCTGACCCTCTGCAATGTTGAGGGATAGCCTGAGTCTCTGGAAGGCATGTTTCTTTCCCAGTTTCAACTATTAGTTAATCGTTAGATTAATACCTTCCACCCTACCTACACACACACAAAAAAAAAGTGTATCTCAAAGCCTGAATCAGTCCAAAGGAAGGTGTAGCCTAAGACCATTTGTCTTGTTATGGAGCTATAGTTGTCTATACTGTAATAAATGTGTTTTAAAGGTCACACTAGCAGCTAAAATACATCATAAGATAAAAACATAAAAGGATAGCAGCCACCTGAACTGTGAGGAATATTTAAAGACAGAAGAGCATTCTCGTATGTGGAACTGGCTACTAGATGCTTGAGAAAAACTCTCTGGGGCCCTTTAATAACAGCAGCCAACCCAACCTCCTCAGCAGGTGCAGTTTCAAATAAATTCAAATAAACTTCACGTAAAGTACACTATTAACAAGCAGGTTTTGTGGTTATATTAGAATACCCCACTGATATGGGTTCTCAGACCACAGTGAAGCCAAGATGAGGCAACTGGACACCAGCTCTTTCAGAGTCAGAACTGGAGCACTGAACGCCCTTTGGTGTGAACACAGCCCACCAGTGCCTGTGGGGAAGGAGGAAGTGTCATACTCACTTTATTGGAGGAACTTCATCTATCCTGTTTCCCAACTGTGATTCATGGGACTTGCTCCTTGTGAGGGTTGGAAAGTTAGGTAGCAGCTGAAAAACCTTCCGGCAAGGGGGAGGAGGAGTCCGTGGTGGCTTCAACTTGTGCCGCCTCTTGGCTTGAGGAGTGGTGGGCGGAGTGATGGTGACGCTGTGAGGAGTCCTTGGCGTTAACCTTCCACTGTGTGCGGGGAATGCAAAAGGGTCCAGGAGATTTTCTGCATAGATAGAAGGTCCATGACTTGAGGCAAGAGAATCTGAAGACGGGATTGTAGATACTGACACAGAACGTGCCTGCTGGCTGTTGCCCTTGGGAAGGTGCAGTGCGGAGGGTGTCCATGTGGGCACAGAGGAGCAGGGGGATTCGGTTGTGTTTGCAGAGCTGTTTTCTCGGCGTGCCTCAGAAAGATTCATCAGCACATCATCTTTTAACTCCCCACCTGTTCACCAACCGTAGCAATGTCAGTGACCGATTACGAAGAAAAGCCAATGTATATACACATACCACATCACGATGCTTTAGACTGTAAGGTGGTTTGTTTTCTTTTTTTTAACCTGTTTTGCACCTAGCCGAGGCGCAAGCCTAATTTCTTCCCCACTGACACCCATCAGCTAAACTAACCTTTAAAACGAGAATGGCAGTAACTACCCTTCTTTCCTACCTATAAGTATGTATCTCAGAAGCTAAAATCAGGTCCTGTGTTCTAAGATGGGCTGAGTTTTAACAGATTGGGACCCCGTTGAGGAATGTGGGATATACATAACTACATAAAACAGGCACACGCATCCCACTGCAAACCTATGTGGATTTGATGCCAATCTGTTTAAATGAGTCTGTACATCCAACCTGGCATCCTGCCTGCTTTTAGACTAATCCCTGGTAAAAAGAAGAAAGTGTTTTCTATTAGCCCACACAACTGCTAGATACCACTTAAACTGAGAAAGGCCATTGCATTGGAAATAAAGAGTATCTAGGAGCTCCTGATACTCGAGTGGCCACTCTCCTCTCTCTCTGGCACGTAACCAGTGCCTGGAACTCACCTGCCACCTGCAGTACTGGGGCACGGCTGCTCAGCCCCAGGCAGCGCAACGCCCCACACGGAGCTGCTGTGTTTGTTCAGCCTGTATTAGCTACAGCTGCCCCAGGGACAGGCAGCTGGACAAAAAGGAACCACCGCATCCTGCCAGAACGGTGGCGCAGCCCAGCGCTGCCAGCGACAGTGCCTGGCACTGTGCTTCAGAATGGTCCAGTACTGCTTGTAGACCAATTCTGGATAGAAATGGGGGGTGAGGGGCGGGAAAAGTACAAAGGCCTGCAGGCAGCGAAGTGGGAATGCAGATTGTTGGGATAATTTCAGAGATTTAATCAATCGGGATAACACTCTAGCTTAATTTTAAGTACATCCTTAATGAATTAAATCAAGGTCAAAGTTTCAGGGCCTGATGTCCTGTTGACCAGTGAGTGGTTGAAAAGGGATCAAATACCTGGATTTTTAAAAATGTGATTTTTAAATAAGTGAATGCTATGACTTCTGAACACACCATACTGTGGTTTTGCCACAGTACGGATGGGAAATATTGACAAGGCAGGACAAGAAAGATTAGAAAAAAGGAAATATGAAATTGAGCTGTTTGCTGACTTTTCCATTAACTAATCTTTATGATTTGAAAATGGTATGAACTGTCATAATACCAACAGGAAACATCACCTTCCAGTGACGGACTGATAATTGCTACAAAGACTTGATGCACATTAGTAGCAGTGTGCTGTGAGAAACTCTCATACAAACAGATTTTACAGCGCCTTTTAAAGTAGCCTGGGGAAGGTGACAGGGGAAGAGAGCAAAGCAGCACTCTGGGAATCTTAAGCTTGACTGATCTTAAATAACTTGGTCAGATCCACTTGCATGCTGAACACATGTGTTTCTAATTCCACAGTATCCTTCTTTCCATAATTTCAAGGTAAATCAGGGTTCTTTCTAGCTCTTGAATCTGCTTTTAGAATTTGGCTAATGATTCTATCAGTTCTAGCAATCAAAGCAAAACAGCAGGAGACAAGCTGTTTTAAAGAGAAGTGAATCAACTGGCATGCTGCAAGCTACACAGTGATAAAGGGTTGTCAAAGCAATGCGCTTCTCTTCCAAAGCACTGAGGTGAACAATACTCCAGTTTCTGAGCAAAGTAATGCCAAACAGAATTACACCTTCTCTCTGAGCTGACAATATCTGGGGAGGGGATTACATAGAAGAAATCTGGTTGTATTCGTTAGGTCAAGGATATGGGTACTGATGGAGGATTAACTGGAGCATTAGACACAACTCTGAACCGAGAGGGAATAAGGATAAAGTGTATTGAGTAGGAGAGGATATTTTTACATACATTTCTTTCCCTTTATTTATCTATTTAATGTGCTGTCAGAACCAAATCTAATCCACAGCTCTAGGTGTGTTTGATCACTGCAACTTCATGTACGTCCAAGAGCCATGATCTGATACTTGTTACAGAATATACCCAAAGACATTCTCTAGCCGTTTTTGCAGATTGTCTCTCATGAAAGGAAGCAGGATGGGGGCCGGGGGCCGGGTTGCTGAGTAACTAATTCCGTAGAACAACAAGGCAGTCTGTACCTGATTCAGTCACCTTCCGTAAGCAGCTCAGTGCCCCATTGAGTCTGGAGCACTCCTCATCTCTGGCACCACATCTCTTCATTGTTTCTTTCACCTTTGACTCATTCATTTCTAGTAAGGCATCTAAGGTTAGCTCCTCTGGTATTCTCTGCAGAAAACCAAGATGATACATTTTTTAAATATACATATATAAATAAGACTGTCACTTGTTATTCTGACATACTTTAAATAGTGCCACTGCCTGATCTGACTCATGATTTTCTCATTTTGGTAGTGAATCTCTCTGAAGAATCACTGGGTCAGTAATGACCATGCGGCAGATCTCGGCAGTGCTCAGCGGCAGCTCACTCTCCTCCCTCCAGCACAGGAAACCAGGCGTATCTGGGAGTGTGCTCTGTATCACTAGGATGTTATGGTCGTTCTCTGGTATTTAAATTAGGATTAGAGGTGATTGAAATATTCTTCTCCCCTTGTGGAAAGTTTTCACTCAGTGTTTTTGAAAAACCTACTAATGAAAGCTTAACTTTTTAATTAAAAATAGCAGTCAGAAAGAAAACAGGTCTAAAACCTGAAAAAAACATCAGATAAAGATGTTTGGCTTTTCAGTAGGGAAGTGAAAAGTAAAAACAGTGAGGAAAATTACTTCTTTTGTTAAACAAAAAGAAACGTTTTGACAAAGAGATAGTGACCTCCTCCTCAAGCAATTTTTCCATCATTAGAGAACCAGTCTTACCCATATCTGACTTGGAAAGATATTTGTGCAGAACTCTTTGTATGTCTTAATATACGAAAGCCCCCAAAGTGATAAGTTTTACATCAGGCAGACACAAAAGATACAAGAGACTGGAAAGCATGAAATGATCTGATATTTCCTGACACAGAATTGAGCTGTGGCACCTCTCTCCTCCCCATTCAAATGTTTCCAGAGTAAGTCTGCAGCAATTGTGGTTAATAAACAAAACCAGGATATTTAGCCCAGATACCCAGGAATTTCCCTGAAAGTTTTGCCTAAACAAACCTCACTGCTGCCTAGTCTCACAATGAGATCACAAATTTCACGGTATTTGGCCTCTTTCCTAAAGTTTCAACTCCTGGAGTCAAGCTATAGGAAAGGGTTTCAATTTTTATTTGAAGGGGAAAATCAAAAGTGTGTCTTACTGTTTGGAGAAACAAAAAGCTTGAAATCCTCTAGATTCTTAAACCCCACTTCCGACTATAAATCAAATTTGAATGCTGCTGAATGTCCTTTAACAATAGCATCTTTCTTAATCCAGCCTCATGCCTTTGAGATCTGACACATGACTTTCGATTTTAGCTGTGACAGTGCTAGAAACAGCCCCAACCTTTGGAGCTTTGTAGGTGGTAACACAAAGAGTAATCACATAGTTTCCTTTTTTGTAATTTGCACGGAGCAAAGAAAAAGAATAAATTAAGAAAGGGCAGATGTCTAAGAAATGCATCCTGCATTTTCTGTCACATGTCCTGAACCAGATGAAACACAAAACACAGCTGACTCAAGGAAAGGCCAAGAATTTCAATGAGCAGTAAGCACAAAGCAGGTCCACAGTAGAGTCAGAGTTCAATGAAGTTTGGGCAAATTTTCTTGTTCTTCTATAAGTAATATTGGCAGAATAACAAAAGCACAGATATCCCAGCTAATGCTGGGTATTATTACTAATTTTTCTGCACGTCTGCACCACCAAGATGCAGGAGTAAGACTGCCCCTAAGAGCTTGCTCCTGAATGACTTCCACTTGGATAAAAAGCAGGAAGCACAAAGACTCCAGCAAAAACACAGTGCAAAATCCGCCCTCCTGGGATTCCTAACCTGATATTACACTCCAAAGGACAAAAACCACCCAGGGGTTCAAATCATCCGAGCTGAAACTGGAATGGGTTTCCACAACTCAAATATTCCAGCACGAAGCCAGTGCAGGTTTGCTCACACAAAGCCCCAGCCAAACTGGGTTGATAACAGCAGTATTAAAGCAAGTCTTTCTTATAGTTATTTCCCCAGCACCCCCTGAATTCCTCTCCCTTGCCTGCAGACGGGCAGCTCACAGAGGCAGCTTTGTTCTGCCGTATCACAAGGGCGGTTCTGCGATGCAGGACATCGATCGGCCTCACAGCGACACAAGCAGCTCTAAAAGGGACAGTGGCTGGGGGCAAACACGGAGCCAGTTTTAGCGTAGTACAGAAGGAAGTTTTCTAAACCACCACGTGTGCCCCTATGCTCTGGAGCAGGGAAGCTAATGATTCTCCACTAAGCATAAGGGAAAGCCGATGTCTCTTACAAAAACATTTATCCCATTTCATGCTTTTACATGGTCTTAGAGTAAGCGGGATTACAGCGATGCCATTCTTGAATTACCTTGAAACGTTTCCTCACCACCACCACTCCCCAATAAGAAAACAACCCAGATTACACAGCTACTGTTTTAAGCAGCAGAGTCATTCCAGATCCCACTATAAACTACCAAGTCACATTACCCAGGATCACCTCACTTCCCTACCCTCTGCATGACACAAATGTAACCGGTAACTTATTAGAGCTATTAGTAAGTCAATCAGTAAAGTGGAAGAAACTAAGATTTCCTTGGGAAAGCAAAGCTTTTCCACCACAGCCAGTTCCATAGCCCAGATTTTAACTGGCCAGCGCAAGCAGCTGGGATGGGACTGGGCACAGCACCGTTGGGGATCTGGTTTCTCTGTGGAGGGATCCAGAGTGGACAAGCACCACTGAGCTGCAGTGGTAACACGCAGGGTAGTGACTGGCGCAGGGGGGAATCAGCGCTTGGCAGCAAACAACATTTGGGCTGGCAGAAATGCTAGTGAGCCACAATGCTTTGTAAAAGCAAGTGTGGCATCAGATACTGAAAAATGTTCTCCCTGCCCAGTTTAGAGATCACAGGGAAATCAGTAAAGCAAATCCCAATAAAATAATTCAAAAGACCTCAAAACACAGAGGCTAGAAAAAAAGGAGGAAATCAGTCTGGTCTGCAAGCCTGTGTCCATTCAAGTAGGCAGGATGCAGACTGGCTCTCTTCTGTCTGTTCTCCTTTCACAAGGAGGGCAAAGTACAGCAGCTACCTATGGCAATTGTCATCACACCCTTGACTAGGGCCTTGTACCTGTACAGTTAGTCCTCAGTGGAGTAGGAAATGGGGTACTAGGCCTTTGGACTGAAAAAAAGCGTGTATATATTGAGTGTGTGCTTCAATTTGTATAAATAAGACAGACCTGACCATTTTAACTCAACCCGAATTAGCTCTCCTGGTTGTGCTAGTACAGACGAGGCTTAACTGGGGAATTCCCATTCCCCACTGTAAGAGGCATGTGGCACGGCACCCGGGCTCAGCTCCTGGCTGTAACAGCACACACACTCCCTGCTCCCAAGGCACAACTCAAGCACAAAGCTGCTGAGCTCGCAACCAGTACTGATGGCAGGGATGGGGTGCTGCAGAGCTCACGGAGCGGGCCCCAGGCCTGCACAGGGGTGCTCAGAGCCTCTCAGGTCCTTCTCTTGCTGCTGGAGGGGAGCATAACCGAATGCTTACTGGCACAGAGAACTCAGCTGTCATCTTTGTCCCACACCAGATTGATGATTAAACTTCAGAATTGCCTGTTCCTGCAAGTCTGATGGTGGTGCTTTTCTTTAAAGATCAAAGCCCCGCAACCAGGAATTCCCAGCTCTCACTTTTACTTTTCAAGCCTTCCTGGTTGCAGAGAAAAACCTTGAAAACAATTTTTTAAAAATTACAAAACATTCCAAACTACTGAGCTTTTTTAGAATTGTTAGGGCATTTTTTCCTTCATCTCATTCACTTGCAGGACACAACCACTGTAGAGGCTCCATCACCCCTAAGCTGACTGGTTTCACTTCCTTAAGCAGGTCTGTGCTCTACAACTCAGTGTGTGACTTGCCATGAAAAGCTGTAACGGTTCACACACGGCACAACTGAGCAGCAAAGGGCAGCCCCGGCTCTTCACTGCACTTTGCATCCCTAGTGTGATCTCCTGCAGACACACACCCTGGCAAAGGGTCCAGCCTGCTGCCAGCTTGACCCCTTCCTGCGCCTGCACGTGAAGTCCAAGCTACTCTTTCACTGAACAGTTTAATTATAGAAAGACAGAATAGCAAGTTGTAGGAAAGTGTAAGTACAGAAAAGGAGATTATATTTAAACAATCCCAGTGACCTTGAGCTGAGAGAGCTCAGACTTTCTGAACCTGATCCCAGCCCCCATGACACGCGGCAAAAGAAATAAGCCTTCAAAGAGGGGGGGGAGGGCAGGAAAGTAAGAGGCTTTCTTTAAACAGCCTCTCATGTGCTGCACATATGTGGTGGCTTAATATAAAACTGGTCAACCTGATCCCTGTAAGATTGGCCTGATATGATTTAGCTCTGTGTTAGCCCCCCAGCCAAGGAGATAATGGTGAGGGTCACTAGTTCAAGACGGCTCTCACAACAGGTTCAGGTGCTGCTGCTGCCCTGGCTCAGGTGCTGCAGTGTCCATCTCGGCGGGGCGTGTGGTGGGCTCCAGCCCCCCCCATGCACATGCACCTCCGGGCCCTCGCAAAGGCGTTACTCCCAATCTTCAGCACTGAGGGTGGGAGATGTGGGTCCAACAGACCTCTCTTCACCTGCTTCTTTGTGGGTGCTGTGGCTTTAAAAAAAATACAGCTTTAAAAAATGCAGCTTAAAGGCTTGCATTACGGCCAAGCTGAGTACCATCTCCCTGAGCACACCTTGCCTTGGCCACAGAATGACAGGGGAAGCTGCAAGATATTCAGGTACTACTCTAATAACAAGGTCAGATTCAAAATTTAAAAAAAAAAAGCAAGCAGGAGAGACAGAGCCTGCTTTCAATCTCTCAGCACCTCAGAACTGCCAGCAAAATCTAAAGCCTTACTCATCACACATTGCTCCGCAGAAATGATGCTAAAAAGCCCAAACCAGGAAATTATTCCTTTCTACAATAGGTTAAGAGGACTTTTCTACTACAAAGCCCTCCTTATCAGACATGCAGACTGTGCACTTCATGGTACACATATTTAAAAGAGAGAAAAGTAAATCACAGTGTATCCAAGAAACCATCCAAAGGTTAGTCTCAATTAGTCAGGGTGAAGAGTTCACCACAGTCTTTAATC